TAGGTATATTTATTTGTCAAACCCGTTTATCATATCAGCTTGATATAATTTATTTTTTTCACACTGGAAATTTCGTTTATTGTTCAGCTCAGAGAGTCTAACAGTATTAGGTTGAATAGCAACATAACACACATTAAATAAGTTGACCATCAAGAACAGTATACACGTCTGTTAACTCTTAGACCCAATTTCATCTAAATATATTACAGTAACGGGATTTAAAATATGTTTAAAATAGATATTAATACCGTTCATCGGACATTTTAAATGTTGCTACGCTATTGAGGGATGATATGACTTTACTGACAAACAAAGCAATAAATTGGAACTTTATCAAATGAATTTTAAGAAAGAATATATCCATTTGTTTGCCCAAAAAGCTATTTGTTGTTTTTACAGTTTATTGTACAAATGAAATATGCAAAGAAAGTATTGTACGTGAATTTAACTACCAGGCATTTTCGTCGAATCCTATTTCTATCTCGTTCAAATAATTTTACTGAATTTCCTCGTACATTTTCCACTAATCTGTAAAAATAGTACTGTAAGTTCTGTTTCTACAAACATATTTCGAGTGAGACTAGTTAATAAAAAAATCGATCTTCTATCTTTTTTGCCATTAACATCCAAAATGTTGTTTGCATTGTAAAAATGTGTATATCATATAAATATCTCGTGAGCAATTCAAATCAAGTTTGTGTATCAACTACAAAAACCTGTTATATACCTAGTGAATGCACGTATCTACTATACAAGTAGTTATTACATCTTTTTAAATTCAGTCAATAGACATAAATAAAACAATGTGATTGCTTTAGCAATCTAGCACCATTCTCTTCATCGGGGATGGTGTATCACAATTTTTACACAAACACATTCTGTATCAAAGCCATTGTTATGCACAGAGTTCACAATATGGCCATTGTATTTTGTTCCGTCAGCTGTGTTAGAGTTATAAAGGATGATAGATCAGGTGACACACTTGGCACATTCAATATCACACAAGTATTTATTTCTCGTTTGGCTGTTTAAAAATTTAAAAATACAAATTAATTGTATAATTTGGATTGTCATGATTGTGGACTTTCTCAGATGTTTTAAATTTTAAAACTACTGTATATATCTATACCCAAAGCAGTGTTACCATTATCTCAATTATTTTATTAACCTGCGATATGAATACACTTTTAACCTGGATACAATTTTATGATTAGTGTAGAATAAATTATTTTTACAGCTTTTTAGGTTGTACACTTTACAGTTAATTAAATTAAATTAAAACTTCTGCAAAGTTAGGACCACATGTCTCTTTCTTACACTTAACCTGACACACATATATACAAGAAAATAAAAAATACAATGAGATAACTTAATGTAATGAACATCTACTTATTGATATACAATTCTTAGAAGAAAAAAAACAAAAAGAACGATGAAATTTTAACACACAAAATACACATTTACAGGCCGTTCCACAGACGGCAAGCGGTAACAACAAAAGACCTGTCGTAAGCTATGGTCACATGTATTGCATAGAGATTGTATTAGGATGGATAGGTGATTTTGTAAAGGTACTGCTGCGTTACAATCACAAAATATGTCATGTTTGGAGAAGCTCGGCGTTGAGAGTAATATTGCTTTTTTTCACAGACCGTAGCTTTAGCAATATTCTCGCTACACAGAATTCATAACAGGCTGTTGGCATTCTTGTTTACGTTTATGGTTATTTTAACTCCAATGTTGCTTGTATTTGCTGTAGCCATCTGTCCAAAGTATTCCATTGGGTGGGCTGGGTCGTGTATACGAGTATTTTGTTACTGAACAGCAAGTAGAAGATTGTGAATAATGGTTTTAACTGCTTGGGCCTTGTTTAATGTATGCCTTGAAACTAATAGAATACTAGTAGAATACAATGCCGCAAACCGTACTTCAAAAGGTTGATCTTGCGCAAAATGGCAGATGTTCAAAGATTTCTTGAATCCGCAATTTTGAACCTTTGAACGACTGTCATTTTTTACTCAGGCATTCTTTTGAGCTTGAATTTACGGCATCGTAATCTACTAGTGAAGACCTTTAATTTGATGTGCATATCGACCTATGCTTACGTTAACAATTTTCTTCCGATTCCTAGGGCTGTGCCCCCTGAGGAGTAAGCGTATAATAGCAATGTAAATTAAATGAATCTTTTAACAACTGTCATTTTGTGCAGGATCAACCTTTTGAAGTGCGGTTTGCGGCATTGTATTCTACTAAAAAAGACCTTTAATTTGATGTGCATATTGACCTATGCTTCCATTTAAGATTTTCTTCCGACTCCTTGTGGGCCGTCCCCCTGAAAAGTTATTGGATCACTGAATATGTGTTAGAATAGAGTTTCATGCCCTGTAACTTTGTACCAAGTATTGTAGCTCAATCAGCATTATATTTTAAAATATTAAGCCGTACCCAGACTTTTCAATCACCCTGTATAAAGGAGTATTCAATAATTGACGGAATAATTACGTCGTTTTAAAAGACTTTAGAAATTCCTTTCAGTAAAGTTCTTATAAGTCATAAATTACATATGATCACATAATGAGTAATTACATGTAGTCTGCAAAACGGTTGTAAAGCTGAACTAGTTTAATTAATTGTAGCTGAGTTTTATTTGTAGAGTGAACGATTAAACCCCCTATCGGGACCAGCTGATTTGGAAAACAGTAACGTGGGGTAGCAGCGGTGTGGGGATCATTTCATTTCATTAGCGTTATCGGAAACATTGCTTGAGGTAACACAATAGCCGCATTAGATTTAACTTGACTTGTAATTTTATCACAGCCTTTATTGTAATTTTTTTACTAAGCTTTCATTGCGTGATCGTTCTCTTACTGTGGTAAACAATGACAATAAATTACAACAAGCCCCCCAGTCTAGTCTTCTTGGTAAAATAAGCGCTAGTGTTCTGTTTAACAAAGGCAAATATGTGTTAAGGTTCCGTACATACTTGAAATCAAGTGTGTAGTGTTTAGCTATGGTGGTTAATTAACACGATACGCTTCGTGTTTAGTGTCAAGTCATAACTCAAACATTACTAGTTGTACCGTATTGACTTCTATCTGTAAGCTTTGCTATGTCAATATGGAAAGCACTGGCAAAGTTGTAAATGAATGGTGAATACAATCTCGAACAGAATAACTGACAGGCTTCAGCAATAGGAGGTTAAAGTTTAGGGATTGAACAATCATTTTTGTGTTTTTTCTTTTAATAATACAACCGCAGCAACGTGTATATTTCCATATAAATCTTTACATCGTCACGTCCATAAGTAAACTTCATATTTAATGAAGTAGCCGGCAATTTTCTCTTCTTTTCATGGGATTTTACTACAATCTCACTTTAAACAATTACTTTGGTTTCGCTAAACTTAAATGTAATGTTTAAAAACAGCCTATATTGTTCCTAGTCACTGTATATCAGTTACTAGTTACAGTTGCAGGTGATCGCTCACAGTTCGACGTTACAGATGTGACTAGGGGTATCATTCATCATCGGCAAGAACGTCACCTTCCCCATTTTCCTCCAATTGAGTACTCACTTTGAAGATAAATGTACCTGATAATTTATTCTATATATAATACGAGTAAAGTTTGAATAATTGTTACTTCGATCTGGGAATAGGCTCTAACAAAAACGTTTATATTTACTGAATAACTAAGTTCTGGGTTAAAAATAAGTTCTAGACCAGTGGTATAGCCAGGAAAAATCTATTTTCGCCATAATATGAGTACAAACTTTTGAAAATTTAACATGGGCCTTATGAGAATACATTCCGCCATTGTTGTCATTTTGTTTACATTTTAAGACATAACTCGACGTTCTGTACCCACGGGCACCTCAGCTTGCGCATGCGCAGAAAGCTCTTTCCTAGGTAACTGTTACTTCTGATGTGTGCTTCTGACAATGACATACAATTTTGTCAACTTGAGACAGAGAGAAAGAGAACTACTCGACTTTGCGTTCATTAAATCGTTTGATGTACAAGAATTTGTATTAAATTATAAAACTTTCCAGAGTAATGTAGTAATTCCAAATAAATACATAATAAGTACTATTATTCAATCCTCTAAAAGAACTTAAAAAATAGACCATACGCGTATTGTCAAGATGCATCTTCTTATACATTTTCCACATCGTGTATTCTGCATCAATACAACTACATCTTGGAGAAACTCTTGCTTTAGTTTGGAACCAGCACTTATATTTTTTTCATTCATGGGTAATGCACAAGCATATGTCGTTTTGATTTTTGTTCTAGTAAGATTAAACCTATAATTTTGAACAATAGTTGTTTTAGCTTTACTTGTTCTTCACATAGGGTCAAGGACTATGTAATGGGAAGAGAATTTAACCATGTTTTGTACTTACAAATTACTAAGGTGAAAGGGGAACAAACACCTATTATTGCATCTTGGTTTGTTTTAGATGGCGAAAAAAATTATTAGCTATGAAAGTAACTTTCAGACAAAGGGGGAAAAGTCAACTAGATAAATGATTCGCCATTCTACCCTAACGACCAACGATATGTCTCGCTTCCTTAACATAACCTTCCCACTGAAAATACTGTGTATAATTTAGGGTATGTATCATTCACAAAGTAAGAAGTTACATGACATGAGTCATTGAGTATTATAAAATTTTGATTTTATCACTTATTTTTACGAAATTACTCGTAGTTTTTGTTTTATTTAGCTTTGAAAATTGATTGGTCCATCCTCAGTTAAAGCTATAATTACATGTTTAATTGTTCTGTTCTCAATAATATTTTGACTCCAGTTACATATTAATGTAATTAATTCAATTGCATTCGCCATTGAAAAGTAAACAAGTCTTCAATTAGCTTAAAGTGTACATATCTGTTTTAATCAATAACATAAGATGGGTTCTATTTTAAGGGAAGTAAACTTCTTGGCACATTGTATATATATAATGGTTATGTTTTAATCTTCGTAACTTTTTTTCAGGAATCGCAATCAAATGTGGGGAGAATCACTTCAACATGGTGCTTAGATGGTAAGCTAAACGAGAAAATGTCTAAGCTTCTAAATATTATTTTCAATAATACTTACTGATATTCTAATGATATGATGTATTGTTGGTCTTTTTAATACTGTTTGTAGGAATTGTAAATTTATTTTTATTATTTACAAATATATCAACTAAGGAAAAAATGTAATCAAAGTTTTTTTAAGATATTATTGTTACGTATTTTGTTTGAATAAACTTAGTTTTTTTGGAATTTGTAAATAATCTGTAAAAAGAATTAATATAACTTGAAAATAGAATGTGTGGATGAAACGACAATTATTGTTAGAGGTAAAGTTCTTAGACACTAAAATAGTTCTTAGAGTTTTACGTAAGAATTTAAGCATCTTGCTACATTACTTAAATAAAGTTTCGAAGAAAATTTTGAAAATGTAATTTACGTTTAAAATGTCTTAATATTTTAGAAAAAGTGTTCCAATTGAGATTAATAAACTAGAAAATTTGAGTAGACTTAGGACTATAAAAAGAGAAACCTAGCAATCAAAGGAGCGGTTTTGATTAAGAATCTAGATGGAAGTATTTCTGTTTCTTTCTATTTGGATCTCTGATACAACCTAGATTAATCCCGAGTTGGTTTTCTGGTTGCGAAATGTTTGCGAGTGATACGCACCTCACGAGGAGTTTATTGGAAAATACGTTGTAGGCCTACCTATTGGTGTTTTACTAACATCCATATCCCACCAACATATTCAGTGTTGCTCAACAAATGTTGAAATACTTTAGTATTTGACGTCTATCTGCCAGTTTAACTTAGACGCAGCTAAAAAAATATATACTTCAGATGATATTATGTTACAATATATTACAAGCTATATTCAAAAAATATAAGGCAATAATCATTTTAAACGAATCTTTGGACATGGAAACATTTTTTAGCATCCAACCCAGTCCTTCGTACAACTCAGTCATCTCGAGAATTAATCATCATGTATTATATTTTTTTCCTAGAGGTCAAATATTGGTAACTACCTTGTAACATATCTATTTGTTTTAATAAGTATAACTGCCACGAAACAACAACATCGCAATAAACCTCTCAACAATTGATATTATTCTTCACTTTTATGGAAAATTACTGGTACATAAATGTGTCTTTAGGTAGAGGTAAATATCTCCTTGTTAGCATCAGGTTGATAAAGTACTTATGTGTTTGGGAGGATGGGGAAAGTAAGGAGAGTACGGGTTATGTCCTCAATTGAATGGGAAAAGTTATCGAGCGTTGTTTGGAAGGTAGCCGCAATAAATATTCCCCCTCTTTCCGTCTTTCTTTTACAAAGTGAGATTCAATTTCTTACAATATATTCATTGTTTTCCTCAGCCTTCGCATGATATTCGTTGTGGTATTACTTCATAAATTAGTTTTATATGCTGATGAACACAGGGACGAGACAATATTTTACTTTGTTATATTTTTTTTAATCGCCGTTTGGTACAAAATGTTTAATGGAATGTTGTACGTTTAAAATCAATCTTACATTAAATAGTTCGTATAGCGATTGTATAAACCATGTATAAAAAAGATTATCATGCCATCAAGCTCCATTACCGTACTTAATATTTAAAAAAATATGTTTAAGTAAACATACTCAATTTCTCAAACTAATTTAAAATAAGGACTTCGAAACACTCCTGGTGATTTTAATAATATTTTTAAGACAAAGTTATTGACTCCAATGCAGTTATTGCGTAAAAGTGATATTTATCTTGTGAGATCGATGTTATTGACATCCTAGCAGTAATTAGTTTTGAAGGCAAGTCAAATTGGCTGTCAAGTTAGAAAACGTTTAAGCTAAACAAATTCATTTAAATGTGTACTAATTAACCTTCATAAATCTAAAATTTCTTTAATGCTTAAAAACTGATAGGTCTATATTTTGTTTACCAACACATGCAAATTCTTTTAAAACGTTAGTAATGTGTCAAAGAGAAGGCACTCGACATGTGGTTGAGGTCAAAGTAGGTATTGTGATTTCCCAGGGTGTGGCCAGCACAACAGACAGAACAAAGGTTTAAATTGTCAAAGGTTCGCCAAGAGGAAGCTCAGGTTGATCTTACGCTTGGGGTTTCCCTGTTTGGTATCTTTCTCTACGGGAAATGGGATTTGCTGTATTATTTTTGTGACATGTTGGCATCTGGAACCATTGTTTATAGTCAAAAGTAGTCAAAATCGCCAAACCAACCAAATAAAATCTTTGCAAACATGTAATCACTTAGGCCTATATTTTGGTCAATAAAATACATTTAATTTAACCTACATGTCAGAAAATAATCTTTTCCTACAGTTACCTAACAATGTACATGTTCTCTCACTGATTTGAGAAAGCAAAGTGGCCAATTCCCTCATTAGTGAGACAAAGTTAACATTGTCTCACTCTAATTACTTTGTCTCACTCACTCCAGATTTGCAACGTGAAGGCACGAAATAGGGAGCGCGTAACATGCAGACAAGGTCGTAAGCGCACGAAATACGTTGGCAGCACTGGCTGTAAATCAGCTGGTCAGCTGTTGTACTGTTGTATCATTAAATGTAATATTAAAAGTTCACTTCTGGGTAAAAATATGTCACGTTTCTTTACCAATTTATTTGTTTTATGGTAACTGTATGAAAAATATAATGTGCAACTCGAGTGCAAAGTGCAATTGCCTCACTCGAGAAACCATTCCCCACTCGCCTACGGCTCTTGAGTATGTATTTCACTCGAGTGAGTCAATTGCTCCCTTTGCTCACTAGTTACACAAATAACTATTTCACCACACTATGATGTTTTTAGCTGTTTTACATACGTTAGCTGATGGCTGAAAGTTACACTTTGCTGGCCATGCCAGCTGTCATTGTAATTTGGGGACCTATCCCTAATCTATAGGGCCGCAAAATCAGCTGCCCGCTTACTTTCTTAAAAGACGAATGCATATATTAAATACACAATCAATATCTATAACATTGCAATAGAATTGTTTTATTGTCACCGCTAACTAGCAACTATTTATTATGATTTTTTCCGATTCATCAAATTATTTCTTCGCATAACCTTAAAGTTGTAGTTGTGTTGATTATCAGTGTGTATTATTGTGGTGAATAGTGGTAATAGTGTGGGGATAAATAGCGTTCGTACCACGGACCAAAATAGTTTTGAAGCTCTCGAACGTTTTAAGTTCGAGACGAAGTCGAGAACTTAAAAACTATCTCGAGCCGGCAAAACATCATTTTCGGCCCTAGGTAAGAAATATACTGTTTTGTCATACTGCAGCAAAACAGCCGATTTTAATACATGCGTTGCGGGTATAAAATAGCATTTTTACCATCTAGGAAGTAAAAATCATTTTAAGTCCATAGAGAAAAAATCTGCTGTTGTCAACTCAGTTGTAAAATTCGATTGTAAACAAAATTGAATGTATCGAAAGTATGCATTGATTGTTTAATCGATTGTTGCCTTAAGATAAATAATTTGACATGTTGGTAGTATAATGTACAATAACACAATCGTAATAGACGAAACGATTGAATCGCTTACTACACAGCTACTTGTTTCCATTAGCAATTTAAATTTTAAAATGTTAAAAGTAGTTTTGAGAGTTGTCTTTAAATGAAAACTATTTTAGTTTTGTATCATAGTTTGTTCAAATAATTGTTCAATATGACGAAAAATACAGTTCATCACACGGTCGAAAATTGTCTTTTCAACCCTCTCTCATTTTCAGACCTAGGCTTCGCCTCGATCGTAAAACTTGGGCTCAGGTCGAAAAAGAATCACTTTAGACCCTAGTGATGAAATATACTATAACGGAGGATTGAGTTAAACAAAAATTCCCACTATTTCTCATTTAGAAATTTTGAATGATGTTTTATCTACCTACGTTAGTTTTCAACTAGGATTAGTTTTGTTTTATTTATTTGTATTACTCTTTTATTTTAGCTATCGTAAAATAACTGTAAAACTTTACAATTATTCATGGATGTTAGCACTATCCTAGAATTTACCAAGGGAAGATAAGGATAAGAAAAAAACAACATTTTGGTACAATTTAAAACCCGAATGGCTGTACTGCAACGCAAATCCAACGACATTGCTGAAATTATTTCAGTTTTCTTTACAACCGAACAACAAATTTTATCACAAACATACTTATTAACTAGTGTTGTAATGTGTGCTTATTAAAATCTATTTACTCTAATTTTCTGTTATTGAAAAAAAAACCTTTTAATGAAAAATCAAAAAATATAGGCCTATTTTAGATTAGTCCTTTTTAGATTTAGCCTTATTATTGTGTAAACAAACATAATCGTACGGTGGACGTTGAGCACCCATCACTAACACCCGTATCTGTCTGGTAGGTTGCTTCGTTACTCGGTTGCTTGGTTGCTCGGTTGCTTGGTTGCTCGGTTGCTTGGTTGCTCGGTTGCTTGGTTGCTCGGTTGCTTGGTTGCTCGGTTGCTCGGTTGCTCGGTTGCTTGGTTGCTCGGTTGCTTGGTTGCTCGGTTGCTCGGTTGCTCGGTTGCTTGGTTGCTCGGTTGCTTGGTTGCTTCGTTACTCGGTTGCTTGGTTGCTCGGTTGCTTGGTTGCTCGGTTGCTTGGTTGCTCGGTTGCTTGGTTGCTCGGTTGCTTGGTTGCTCGGTTGCTCGGTTGCTTGGTTGCTCGGTTGCTTGGTTGCTCGGTTGCTTCGTTACTCGGTTGCTTGGTTGCTCGGTTGCTTGGTTGCTCGGTTGCTTGGTTGCTCGGTTGCTTGGTTGCTCGGTTGCTTGGTTGCTCGGTTGCTCGGTTGCTCGGTTGCTTGGTTGCTCGGTTGCTTGGTTACTCGGTTGCTTGGTTGCTCGGTTGCTCGGTTGCTCAGTTGCTTGGTTGCTCGGTTGCTTGGTTGCTCGGTTGCTCGGTTGCTTGGTTGCTCGGTTGCTTGGTTGCTCGGTTGCTTGGTTGCTTGCACAATCACTCAGATGATTGGCACAGCGTCGTGTAACACTCCGACATAGT